CTACAGGACGACTTGTTCTACCTGAATCTGAACCACAAGACATACCTTCTGATGCAGCAGTTGTTATCTACCCAGGGACCAAGGGTGATCCCTGGTGGGACATGAATCAGTTGATATCTCAACTTCAAGAGCGAGCGATTCCAATCTTTAATCGTTTGCACCCAAAAGCACAAGGTGTCTTCATATTTGATTGCTCTTCAGCTCATCAGGCTTACGGACCTTCGGCACTACGTGTTCAGAATATGAATCTCAACGTAGGTGGTAAACAAAATCTGCTTCGCGATACTACAATTCCAACCGATGATCCCAACATCCCGGTTGAGCTACGAGGCTTACCACAATCAATGGTATATTCATCTGATCACCCGGATAAAACCCTTGCAAGCCAACCAAAAGGTATCAAAGTCGTGCTTCAAGAGCGTGGATTGTGGGACTTCTATAGCCTGCAGTCTCAGCAGGCTGGTAAGGGTCCCCTCTTAGGGAAGTGTAAAGAGTGTAAAAAGTCGGCTGTCTGCCAAGATCAAGAGATTCGATCTGAACAGTTGATACGAGAGGCTGAAGCTCAAGGATATTTCATTAATGAAGACGAAGAATCTCAGAGAAGAACTAATCAGAATTCCAAATCCACAAGCTGTTGTGCCTTCAGGATTCTCAGCTTACAGTCAGACTTTTCAAATGAAAAGTGCCTGATTCAAAAAGTAATTGAAGAAGCTGGTCACATTTGTTTATTCCTTCCTAAATTTCACTGTGAGCTCAATCCAATTGAGTTGTATTGGGGTTATATCAAACAAGGTAAGTCTCATTTTTCACTTGATCTTTCTATTTTATATCCATCCTGCTTCTCTGCACAGAATTCCGTCAAGGTACTTTTAAATGCAAGTCATTTGCACAATCAAAGGCACTTTTTGAGCAGGTTAGGAAGAATTGCTCTATAACAACTATTCGGAGATTCTTCAGAAAGATTGATAGGACTCACTCTGCATATGAGTAAGCATGTTCAGTTATCTGATCATCCCTATCTCATCATATATTGACCTGGAAAATTTTATGTAGACTAGGATACACTTGTGGCGATGTGGAGAAGCTGGTTAAGAAGTATAAGTCTCATCGTCGGATTCCAAAAAATGCTGCAAAGAAATGCTGCGAGGAGGATTGATGTGTTGGACAGTTGATACACTTTTATTTACCCTTTAGGATTTGAATCACATAGGCTATGTTTATACAT